CTGCACCCGAAGGATGACCTGCTTCAGAAAAAATCACTGGCACAGCGTGTATTTCCCTTCCCCTCTGAAATCTCTGGCTGACAGACTCTTCCTCCTTGGCAAAGGTGTGGGGTAGAGGGATCAGAGGCACAGATTCCTTCCCCTAAGTGGGCTCTCTGGTGTCCCCCCGTCCTCCCTGCTACCCCAGGCCCTGAGCTCTTTTGGTTGTACATTTTATTTCAAAGGAAAATAAATTGTTTTTTTGCCAACAGTCTGGGCTAGGCTGGTCTTGGGGGTCGTCTCTTTGATTAATGGAACTGAGGTAAGGGACAGGCTCCAGGATTGAGGGACTAAGTCCATAACAGAGTATGATTCCTCCCACCCCCTTAGGCCTGGAGTCTCCTAAGTCCCCCCTTAGGCTGGTCTAAGCCCCAGTTTTGGTAAGCAGGAGTGACTGAGCTATCTCTGTAATGACTCCAGGCCTAGAAGCTGGGATACCTAGGAGAGTCTTGGGTTGAGGCAAATGCCTGGGTTCCAGCCCCCAACTGTCAGTAAAGATCAGTCCCCTTGGGGTGTAAGGGGACAGCTCTCAGATGCATGACTGTGAGAACACCTGCCTGCAGGCTGATGGCTCTCAACCGCTCCCTTTCTGAGCCCTAGATCAGGAAGTCTTTCCTCATGCTTTGCATCCCAGTCTACTACAGAGTCTGTAGCTGGGCCCCAGAGCAAGACTGGCTCCTCCAAGGGAGCCCAGAGCTTTGTTAGGGAAATTGGGGGGTGAGGGGACCACAATGAAGCCTATTGTCTCCTGTCCCCTCTTGCAGGAAACAAAAGGCTCCCAGTCTCTGGGGAGCCCTAACCCATGCCCATCCCCTGCCCAACCCCCAGTGCCCAGCACACAGGGAGGAGCCGGGGCCACTGGAGACAGGAGGTTTTATTGCTGCTGATGGGGGTAGGAAAGGCCCCCCAGGAGCCCCGGTGGGGGGTTGGGGGCTGAGTCAGTCAGCGGATGCATAAGGCCTGGGCACGTGGGGTAGGTTAAGGCACATTCATCTCAGGATTCTGTGGCTCTTTCTTTGGGGAAGGGAGAGAGCATCTTGAGGGGGTAGCAATTCGAAGAGTAGCGAGGGAGAGGTTAGGGACGGCTGAGTGCTCCTAACCTGAGAGAAGGCACCACAATAGGCAGCAACATCTGTGTGGAAAGCTGGATCAGCTGGTCAGTAGGGGAAAGTGGGGAGGGAGCACTGGTTTGGCTTCTTGGGGAGGGGTCCAACCTTGGCCTGGGTGAGCTCTCGAGAATACCTGGGGTTCCCAAGCAGAGTGGGGCAGGGCCCAAAGCCCTTTTCCTGTGGGCCTCCTTAAGGAGAAATAGGCATTCAGAGAGCTCCCTGGCAAGGGGTGCCAGAATTAGTCCTTAAGGCACAGCTGGGGGCAGACAAGGCGCCAAGGCACAACTGGTGGGGGGGCAGGGGGCAGCCTCCAAGCTGAGCGCCAGGGTCACAAGAGGACGCAGGACCGCCCACGCTTGATTGGCGTGGGGTTGAGCACGGCCCGGACAGCCTCAGCAAACACTTCTTTGACGCCGTCCTGCTGCAGGGCCGAGCACTCGAGGTAGCGCACAGCATGGATCTGCTTGGCCAGTGCCTGGCCCTGCTGCGGTGTGATGGGCGCCTGGCCCTGCTCCTTGAGGCGCCGTAGGGTATCAGGCTGGGCTCTCAGGTCCTTCTTGGTGCCCACCAGGAGGATGGGCACGTCGGGGCAGTGGTGGCACACCTCTGGGTGCCATTTGTGCCGCACATTCTCATAGGAGGGTGGGCTGGCAATGGAGAAACAGATGACAAAGACGTTGGTCTGAGGGTAGGAGAGTGTGCGGAGGCGGTCGTATTCCTCCTGGCCCGCTGTGTCCCACAGGTTCAGGTTCACTGTGCGCCCATCCACTGCGCTCTGGGCGCTGTAATTGTCGAACACTGTGGGGATGTATTCCTTGGGGAAGGCGTTAGTCGTGTAGCAGATGAGCAGGCATGTCTTGCCCACAGCCCCGTCGCCCACCACCACACACTTGATGCTCTGCATCGTGGGTGCAGCTGCTGCAGTGGAGGCAATGCCTCCTCCCCGTTCTGGGCCCCTCTGGATGCAGTGACCTATGAACAGATGAGAGGGACACTCTTGGTTAGGGAGGTGTCTGCCAATTGGGAAGAAAGGATGGGGGCATACGGAGGGAAACTAGCTCCTGTTTTCTTAACCTGACACCATCCTGCAATCCCATCAAGACAGACCTCAGAGGGCCGGCCCCGTGGCTTAGTGGTTAAGTGCGTGTGCTCCACTGCTGGCAGCCCGCGTTCGGATCCCGGGCACGCACCGACGCACCACTTCTCAGGCCATGCTGAGGCCGCGTCCCACATACAGCAACTAGAAGGATGTGCAGCTATGACATACAACTATCTACTGGGGCTTTGGGGGAAAAAATAAATAAATAAAATTAAAAAAAAAAGAAAGACAGACCTCAGAGAGACAGACACACGAGAGAGGCCCTGAGATCAAGCAAAGATGCTCAGATGTAAGGAGGCCGGCACTATAATGTGTACTATGTTATGTGAAGCACATAAGTGCTGGTGCCAGACCAACTAAGGTCAAATCTTGGTTCTGCTATTTCCTAGCAGTGTGACCTTGGCCAAATTACTTAACCTCTCTATGCCTCAGTTTTCTTTTCTGTAAAATGAGGACAAAGTAATACCTCCCTCATTGGGTTGTTGTGAGGACTATATAAATTAATACCTGTAAAGCATTTAGAACAGTGCCTGGTCATAATAAGCATTCAATAAGTATTAGCTACTTTTATTTTTCCTCCAGGCAGTATAGACACAAAAGGAGGGTGTACAAGTGTAGGAATCTACCCGATCCTCTACCAGATACGGACATCTCCCTCTGAGCAGACTGGAGAGGGTGTCTGGCACAGGGCAGCTGTCCCAGGTCACTCTGAGATGCAGCCATGGGTGGAATCTCTCCCAACTCAGGGCCCACCCTGCCCAGTGCACTGATGTTTCACTTCCAAACCTGACATCTTGGCTACTGAGTGTAAGCCAAAAGGCACAATGAGAAACCTGATGAGTAAGGAGAACAATTCTCTAGATGGCTGCCCTGTCTCAGTCCAGGGTGCCTTAGGGAAAAGGAGGAAGAGCTCACTCCATCATTCTTGCAAGCAAAATAAACCTTATCTGGCCACACATACCCAGGTTGGCAACTCAGTACAGGGGAATAATGGAGATTGAGCCAGGGCTGAGATTTGATCTGGAATCTGAGTATGTACTGATGAAGGGGACAGAGACTGTGGCTCCCAGACATTAGCATCTTCCCTAGAGGCCCTTGGTGGAGTAAAGCAGATCCTCCAAGCCCAGCCAAGAGGGATGAACAGAAGAGTAAGACAAAAACTTGATTCTCCCCTTAACGGTCTCTTTCCTGAGACTATGGCATGGGCCTCTGAAGAATTTCAGGGCTTCCAGACTCTTGGATAGAAAACACAATGCCGTTAAAGCACAGTTGCTGAGAACACGTGCTAGAGTCAGACTGGCCAGGGATTCTTTTCTTTTCTTTCTTTCTTTCTTTTTTTTTTTTTTGGTGAGGAAGATTAGCCCTGAGCTAACATCTGTTGCCAATCCTCCTCTTTTTGCTGAGGATGTTAGTCCTGGGCTAACATCCGTGCCCATCTTCCTCTACTTTATATGGGACGCCTGCCATAGCAAGGCTTGATGAGCAGTGAATAGGTCCGCGCCCAGGATCCGAACCTGCGAACCCCGGGCCGGCAAAGCAGAGTGCGAGAACTTAACTGCTACGTCACGGGGCCAGCCCTGGCCAGGGATTCTAATCCCAGCTCCACTAATTAGTCATGTATCATCTTGGGCAACATGTTTAAGTTTCCTGAGCCTCAATTTTCTCATCAGTAAAATAGGATGATCTTGCCTATTGTGTTAGAATTGCTCACAGTATGACATGAGCTAACGTATAGAAAGCATTTGGCATGAGGCGTGGCACACAGGAAGTGCCCAATAAAGGGGCTGCTGTAATTATTAGTGGGGTGAGTATGAGAGAAGCAGTCCCAGTTCCAGCAATTACCCTGGTCCCCTCTGCAGCTCACAGGGCCTCGGGGTGAGGAACTGCTCTTCTGAGTTCTGGAACAAGACAGTGCTTCCGGAAACACTGTGATTATTTATGCTGCCGTGGCAAGGGTCCTCCTCTCATTGGCTACTTCCTCTCAGCCATGGGGGACTTTTTGCTGGCCAGTGTATGACTTCCTTCCCCTGACTCTCTCCCACAACCAGGTCCCCGCTCCCTGGGAGGCAACAGACCTGTTTTAGACACATCCAGATCTCTAAGAATCCCTAGCTCCGCCCAAGCACCACCACCACCCGCTCATTTTCTCCATTTTACTTTATACACTGCAAGGCTGCACCCTGGTCTGAGAACCTCTTGCCTGCCCCACTCCTAGCCTGACCTCTCAACCGTCGGTTCAAAAGCCTCAAAAATCGAAGTGGGGGGCAACTCTGGTTTTGTGAGACCTGCATAGGACCCAGAGCTTGGGTCGACCTTCCTTCCAGGCCCCAGCTTTCTCTGGAACCAGCTCAAAGGGAAATGGTTTCACCCTATGAGGTTGCCACTCTGGTTCGCATTAAAAATATTTCCATCTTATTTGCATGAATAAGTATATGTTCAACCTCAGTAGAGAGGATAGAGAGCCTGGGGAATGGGTCTGGGAAGGAGATGAGGACCCTCTAGGGCAGTGGAGAGAACTTCAGACTGGAAGTCAAGGGACCAAACCTAAGTCCTAGCCCCAGCTCTCTCAGCTGCTGACTCACTGTAACCAAGAATGAGGCACTTACTCTCTCTGGGCCTCAGTTTCCCAATGCATGAAATGGAGAGAAAAATGCCTGAGATAAAAGCAGTAGCTGGATAAAATGAGACATTAAGAGCCCCGGGAGCAGGGGATAGGATGATGGGTGTAGGAAAGGCCCCCAGGAGCATGGGGTGGGGGTGAAGTCGGTTAGCAGATGCATAATGCCTAGGCACATGGGGGCAATGTAGGGCACATTCATCTGCTCAGGATTCTGTGGCTCCTTCCCTGGGGAAAGGAGAGAGCATCTTGGGTGGGTTGGTGTCATTACTCGTGTCCACTGGATTATCTGGGAGACCCTGGCATTTCAAGAGCAGAACTCCTAGGCCTGTTAAATTCTTCAATTCCCCACAGAGCAGGGGGTGGGAACTCTTCCCCCACAAGCCCAGCACTGGGCTGGCCCAGGCAGGAAGGCAAGGAGGGAACTCTGGCCAGCAGTCACAAGGCCCAAGAGACTGGAAGTACAGCGGCTCCAGGCAGCTCTCTAGGGAGGGGTTATCAACGAGCAATCAGTAAATCAGCCCTCAAAAGAGCGGGGAGGGAGAGGGTAGCTTCCGGGTTGGCGAGGGAACAGGGACTGACACCGGAAAAGGATTATGAGTGAGGTAGTGTCAGAAACAAGCAGGGTAGAGGCAGTGTGGCATCAGGCCAAGAGCACAGGATACCTGAGTCTGACCTCTTGGGTTCACCTGCTGACGTTGCCCTTGGATAACAAGGCCTCACAAGGTACAACACTTCATAGATCACATGGTATTATGTTATTTGATCTTTATAACAACCTATTGGTATTATTCCTATTTACTCATAAGGAAACAAACTCAGAGCAGTTAAAGTAACCCAACACCACACAGCTAGTTAGTACAGGAGCCAGGACACAAACCCCAGTTTTGCAATCCAGAGTCCTGTGTTTTCTTCAATGCGTCACACAGCCTCCAAGTTACCCCTCACCAGCTGACTTCGTGACCTTGAGCAAGTAAGACACTTCCCTTCCTGGAGCCTCAGTTTCTTCATCTGTACAACAAGAGTGATAATACTTGCCCTCCCTGCCTTAAAGGGCAGCATCAAGGATCCCAAGCATGGGAATGAATGTGCTTTGTGAATTGGGACGTGCTGTGCACACAGGAAGTGACAAGAGCAAAACCTTTCATCCCAAGAGGCAGGAAGCACTGAGTATGCAGGTGTCTGAGTGGTGGTATTGGCCCAATTCTCCCTCTTCAGGTCTAGTTCAGACCCTTATCCTCTCTCCCAGGACAACTCTTTTCTCTGAAATCCTGTGGCCTGAACTGGGTCAAATAAGTTCCCATAGCACATTTAAGGAGGGCCCATGCCAAAAGGTAGGGTCTAACCTGTGCCACATAGGAAGAAGAGACAGTCAGTGCTGCAGGGGGCCAAGCAAGGAGAGTGGCCTGCCTGGGGTTCGGGATCAACTGTAACTTATTCATTACGTGACTTTTTTTTTTTTAAAGAACTTTTTTTAGTAAATAAATTAACGTTTGCAGATCTGTATAGTATTTGCCAAATACAATGACTTGTTCTGGCTTTTTATTCCCAACTTAATTCAGATTATGCCTGGTCCCTCATCTTGATGTTCAGAGTTCTTCATAATTTGGTAGGCGTTTTGGAGTCAGACGGACCAGGGTTTAAATCCTAGTTCTGCCACTTATGACCTAAGTAATAGTACCAACCTTACGAGGTTGTTATAAGGATTAAGTGTGATAATATGCAGTATATGTGTGTTTTGTGAATGTGAGTTCCCAGCTCCCTGCTCCAGAGGGGTCTTCATTGACCTCTGTAAACAAGACAGGATCATTCTTGCCTCTGAACTTTTACTCTTGTTCCTTCCGTTGTTCTTCTGTCAGCTGCCATTCCCTCTCCCCTCTCATATCTTCCTGACTTCTCAAGGCCTAGCTTAAGTCTTACAGTCCCATGAGGCTACTGAATTCTCCTTTCTTTGAACTTCCATAGCACGGCCACCCCTTTTAACCCTTCTTTGGTTCCGTGTGATTCTCCTTCTCCAATAGTCATATGTAAGTTTCCTAGCTTGTGGACACTCCCCAGTACTGGAGCTTGAGCTGCTCTTGACACCCCTGGAAAAGCTGAGTCCAGGGCCGGGCACCAGGAGTGTGCAACCACTGCCTTCTGATCCTCTTGCTTCTGCCCCCATTACTGAGATCTGGACAGACGCCTCGGAAGCCCAGAATTGGACTAACACCCCCACAGCCAACACTGCAATGCTGAATCTCTTTGAACAGCAATGGCAGCCAAAAGCTTTAACTGGGATAGGCAAAAATCTCTCTTCCTAGTGCCAGCTTGCCTAGCTCTGGCAGGTAGCACAGCCCATGGGAGCACAGCTCATGGTGGGTAACTCTGTCTGCATGTGGTCCCTGAAGCACAGCTTGTACCCAGTGGGGCCTGGTCTTGGGGTGTGGCCCAAGCAGGCCCAGAATGGGGGAAGGAAAGGAAGCAGTGGACTGCCTGATTGCCAGATCTCTGTGGCCGTTATGGCAGGGGAAGTGTCCCAACTGGGAGTGGGGGAGGGGAGGAACGGGCCCTAAGAGATGGGGGAGTGTGGAGGCAATGGGAACTTACTACAGCCTTCTAACCTGCCTCCCTGACATGGGGCTCCCCTTCTGCAGCCCTCCCTGAAACTCATTCTAACTATACTCCATCTCTGGGCATCCCGATCCTGAGCTCTGGCCACATTACCCTGATCCTCCACAAGCAGCCTCCACATTCTCTTCCCCAAAACACACCAAGCAGCAGTCTTCGTTGTCCCCATGGAATCCAGCATTTCTCCCCCTCTTCCATCCTCCAACCCCCCCTCAGCAGCTCACAAGGCTCCAATTGCTTCAAGGGACCCCACCTTGGTCGAAGCACCATGGCCACCTCCTCCAGGAAAGTTTTGGTAAATCACCCAAGTCACAATTGACTTATCCCATACAAGTTCTGGTCCCTGTTTCTCTCACAGGCACATTCTATCTTGTATCACACGGAGGTTGATCTGAATCTTATCTCTTGTTGCTAGACTAGGAGGGCCTAGAGGACAAGGTCCTGGCTGATCTGTGTCCCCTAGGCTGCTGAATGAACTCAAATCGTCCTTCATGTCTTTGCACATGAGAGTTTCTCTTCCTGGAATTCTGCTGGCCCCTTCAGATCCTCCCAGTCCTTCAGGGCCCAGTTCTGTTCCCTAGCTTCTCCAGGACACCATAGCAACCCATTCTCCTGCCCTACCTTCCCCAGCACTGTACTGTTCATTGCCCTGAACTAATTGGATGCCTCATGAGGAGGGAAGTCTGTCCTTCTGCTTACTTCCAGAAACTCAGCACGGGACTGAGCAAAAGCTGCAGACTGACACACATCTCCTCCCCCATCAATTCACAAACTTTGATTCTGGGAACAAGGAAGAGCCTCTAGGCCCAGGAGACACAAGACAAGGGCAACCAACTTCCTCCTCCCCCTGAGGGGCACAATTTAGGGTAGCAGGCTAGACTGCCCTGTCCTTAACTGGAAGGGTGAGGGGTGAAGCAGGCATAGCTAGCCCAGAGGTGATGAGGAAGATGAGTAGGAAAAGTGGTCCTAATAAGGGGAAGGATTGGGAACATCTGAAGACCCTTGTTCAAGGAAGGAGGCGAAAAGGCTTTAGCAGCTCTGCAAGTCTGTTTGTTTGTTTGTTTTGAAGGGAGGGGAGGAGGAGAGGTGATGTATAGAGGCTCAAAGGGGCTGCAGCTGGCTGCAGCTGGGCTGGGAGGAGGAAGCTGGGGGAGACATGAGGTCAGTGTGGGGCTGGGACCAGGCCAAGGGCTGAGTCTCTCTTTCTTCCCCTTCTCCCCATCTGCAGGGACAGAACCCAAGAGAGCCTAGCTCCCAGCCTTAAAAAAAAAAAAATCCCTGTTGGAGACTTCTCCACCTCTTGCCATTCTCCCCCCCTCAGCCCCTGCAGAGGATCCTACACTGCAGCAGGTAGGGTAAGAGCGAGAGACAGTTGACTCTACCCACTAGGGGCTGAAGAGGAGAAGGAAACAAGACAGTTACAGCTGGGAAGGCTATGGGGGGCTGGGCCCCCTTTACGAAGTGCCAGTTCCCTTCCTTCTCCTCTCACCATCCCAGCACCTGAGGGGCTCCACAAAGGGTGAGCCCCAAGGCCTGGGAAGCTGTGGCTGGGGGAGCTAAGGAGGCTGCCCCCTCCCCCACTAGGCAGCACAGAGGAAGGCTGAACACTTGCTTCCTCCCGCCTAGCTCGCAGTCCCGGGGCCCCATGAAAGGCCTGTGAAGTGGCACTTCCTTTGCCTTTGCTCATTTCACACAAGGCTGTACAGAAGTGCCATCCTCCCAGTCCTGCCTCGCCCACCTGAAAATACCCTCAGAGAGACCCAGGGCCGCCCTGGCCCTTCAGCCCTGCCCCAGGCCTGCGGGGGTTTCCACAAGGGAAAAAAACATGAGGGAGGAAACTCCGGCGTCTATTTTCCACTGTCAGTGGGGCAGAGCTGGAGCAGGGCACACGGTGCTCCCCCATCTTGCTGTCCCTGTCTTGCAAAATCCCTAACACTCGCTGTCCGCTTCTCATCTCTCAACCTGTAACAATCCTTGTGCTTTGGAGAAAGGGGCCACAGTTCCTGTCCCTGGGCAGATACTTAGAAACTACTCGCACCTGTCAGATCAAGGCTGGCCTGAGACAGGAGGGCCCAGAGTGGGGGCCCTACTCTGAGGAGCCTCTTGGGGGAAGGAGAGTCAGAGCTCTCAGTCTTCTCTCTGCTCTGTGGAGGTATTGATGAGCAACTCCTTAATGCTGAAGCTGAGCGACGAGACACCAAGTTGATCAGCGTTATACAGAGAGTTGGGAGCAAATCCAGGACAAAGACCTGGGTCTCCTAACCTCCAGCCTGCTGTCACTTTCACAAAGAAGAGAAGGTGAGGATTGTTACTCTGGCCTAGGAATGGGCCCATCATCTCTCTGACCTCATTCAGGATGACTTTACCATGGTTTATCCCTTCAGGAAATGGGCCAAAGGAGTCAGGTTGACATCTGAGCCCTTTTAGATTTTAAGTTCCCAGGCTCTCGTGCCTAGCCCATACTGCAGTGTCCATGATTTAGAACTACCACTACCGGACAGCCAGCCACACCGGCCCTGCCCCAGCTGAGGAGCTCCTCCTCTAGCCTCTAGCTCCTGGGGAGATACCCTCCCCCCATGAGATGAGGACAAAAGAGGAAGCTGGACCCTGGACAGGAAAACCGAGCTGTTCTAAGGAGGTAGCCCAG